AGAGTAGAGTAGAGTAGAGTAGAGCAGAATAGAGTAGAGTAGAGAAGGGACGAGACGAGAGAAGACAAGAGAGGTAAGGAGACGAGACGGGACGAGACGAGATGAGACGAGATGAGACGAGTCGAGACGAGACGAGTGAGCCGACTCGGCGATAAAGACGGTGACGGCCTTGAGGTATGTGGGACCCCAACACACAGGCACGCACGACCAAAACGGATCGACGTCGTAACGAGCGTCGTGGATTCTCCGATAAACGAACAGAACCAGTCCCGATACTGCTTCTCGAACTCGTCGGGACCGTAGCGATTAATCATGAATCGAGAGCGTAGGAGGTCGAGCACACCTGCTTTCCTGAGATTAAGAATATTACCGACACAGATACGATAAGCTACCTGTGCTCTGGTTGGTCGGATAGGGTATGCTCGTAGGTAACGATACGGGGGACACGGCGTAACCGCCGAAAGAAGCTTTTACCGAAGGTCCGGAACCGGCTAAAGTCCTTGGACCCAGAGACCGTCTTCGGGATTCGGAAAGTTACCGAGACTGGTCTAAATGGAGGGCCGATTTAAAAGGGTGCTTCACGCGGCGTTAGGCAAAGTATCCCTTTTCTAGAACCTCGGTGTCCCTCGTAGACCGTCGGACCCAAAACCCCCTCTCTCTCTCTCTCTCTCTCTCATTCTCTATAGCCAGAACGATGGTCAGGTCTCTAGGTCGGTCGTGTACGCGAAAACGAGCGTTAAAGCAGCTGACTTTTCCCCGGGTAAGTACGGAGCAGAGTCGAACGCAGGAATGATTAGGTAAACAGACGAAGGATGCGAGAGACGAGCCGAGGAACGGACCGTCGAGATGATTGTGCCTCCGCGATTAAGAGGTCACGCGTAGGCAGAGAATCCGAGGGAAGGTGGTTAGAAAGCGAAAGCAAGAGCAACGGCAAGAGCAACGCCAAGAACAGGAACGCTGTGAAGGTAAGAAGAAGGTAAAAAGGCGAAAAGGGTGAGAAGAAGAAGAAGAAGAAGAAGAAGAAGAAGAAGAAGAAGAAGAAGAAGAAGAAGAAGAAGAAGACTAAGAAGAAGAAGAAGAAGAAGACGAAGAAGAAGAAGGTGTCGAAGAAGAAAGACTCACTTGAGGAAGTAGATCTGTCCCTCGGGGGTGCGCGCCTGTTCCCATCCGTGCGGCAGGGGACCCAGGTCGTCGACCGTGCTGATGACGTCGTAGCTGCGTTGCTTCTGGTGATGATGGTGACGCGCGTGCGGCTGGGGCGCGTGCTGAGGCGCCTGCTGAGCGGACGCGTACGTCTGCTGAAGCGAGGCTGGGCTGCTGTGGGCGCGAGGATGAGCGACGGTGAGGCCAGCGGCGGCGGCTGCCGCGACCGCAGCCGCGGCTGCACCTGCGGCGTTTGTCCCGGTACCGGCGCCGTTTCCGCTTGCAGGTTGCCCGGAGGCCGGCCCGGTCCCCTGTGTATCGCTCCCGGCGCCGTTCCCGCCGGCCCCCGCGCCGCCGGCACCGACCGCCGTACCGAAAGCAGAATCCGCCGAATTCTCCCGGGAATGCGAGATCGAGGGGCTCTTGCTGCCCGTCGACGGCGGATTGAAGAAGGAATCCGGCAGATTGCGCATGCGCAACGGCACTTGAAGCGGACGCTTCGACGCTTCCGGCTTCAGGACGCTGTCGAACAACGCCTGGAGATCTGACTCGGAGTTCTGATCCATCCTCACCACGAGATTGCTCTTCGACAACTGGTCCACGTCCTGGTTCAGCGCCATTTTGGATCACGCAGCTCTCGCTGATCTAACGCGGTTACCTCGCGTGCCTGTCTTCTCTCCTCTCTCCCTCGTGTCCTGTTCTACCACTGGGCTACCTTTCGTTTCTTCTCTTTATTTCTCTCTCTTTCTCTTTCTCTTTCT